CCAGCCCGGCGCTGAGACCCGTCGGGGCAGCGAGACACTGACAGATGGGATGGGCAAAAAAAGAAAAAAACCAACAAAAAAAGGAAAGGAAGAAAGAAAATACGAGCAAGCGACCAGTGAGCTGCAAGGTGGCGAGAAGCACCTCCCCGCCCCGAGAACAGAAACCTCTGGGATTGCAAAACTCGCTCTGCAAGCAACGACTGCGGCTGGAGGAGGAAATGCTTCAGCTTCCTGCTCGAGAAAAAAAATATTCCCGGAGTTGCAGCCTTCCCCAGGCACGCTGGGATGCAGGGCCGGGGCCAGGACCGGCTCTGGGAACAGCAAACGGTGCTGAGCACCGGCCACTGCACAGCCCGGCCGGGGCAGGGATGGGAAGTGAAGTCCAAGCAGGATGTGGATCCGGGGTGGCCTTGCCCAGGCACCAGCAGCCAGGGGCTCACCAAGCAGAACTTGACATCACTCTGGTTAAAGTCATCTTGCTGCAGCTCAGCTAACAGGAAGAGGCTGAGACTAAGTGACTTCTTGAAGTCATTTCCAGTCTCATCTTCTGTGCACACGGTACCTGTGTCCTTCAGCCTGGGCTTGTCCCCTCCGAATGGGACTGTCAATCTGTCCACACTGGCCAAGCTCACACTGTGGCTGCAGCCTGGGCAGGTTCTGGCTGGGCTGCTGTGCAGCATCCCTCACTCACCAAAAACAAAACCAGCATCAATTTGAGCTGGAGATGCCTGAGAAGCCTTTCCCCACACAGAAAAGAACACAGCTCATTTCCTCATCTCAGGCCACCACTGAGATAGTAGATAAGAGCTGTTAATATAAGGAAGAAGGGCAAGTAAAACCTCTGGAGGGGAATTCCAGCTGGGTTTCTTTTAGAGCTGCACAAAGGCAAGTAGCTGCAGCAAGTGCCATTGTACATTGTGCACAGTGGTCTCATTCCTGTGGCTCCACAAATTCTTCTCCTGCACTGGAGTCCCAGAAGCCTGAGAAGCCCATCGGGGGGCAGTGGGAGAGGAAAGGGACCCTCCCTGGTTGTTCAGCTCTACCACAAAAAGAAACTGAAACAAAGACTTCTAAAGCAGAAAACCCAGACTCGGGTGTTTTCTCAGAACTGCACACGTGGCTTGAACTTGCACTGGCAGATTTGAACTGGTGAGGGGTAAAGATAGACAGGAAGGAAATCATTACAATATTTTATAACACTCAAGAAAGAGAATTTTCAGGTTGTGCTGCAAGTTCTCTGTAGCCATGTCTGAATCATGCCAGATTAATTAGAGACCTTTGAACCCAAGGACTCCCAGGACATCCTAGTTCCTCCAGGAGCTCTCCCAGCACTCACTGGTCCACTCTCAATGGGAGATCTCAGTGCAACCCCAGGAACTCACCCGGCTCCTTCCAGAACCCTTTATCCCTTCTTTTGCTATTCTTTTACATTTTATGGCTTATTTCCTTTCCCTGGCTGCCCCATGACAGATTTTACCCTCCCCACCTCAGGTCTGACACCCAAATCCCATCTGACCCACTCAGACCCTTCACACCCACGCTCAGGAATCCGTAAATCCCACTGAGCCCCCGACCTGCCCACGGGGATAAACCCTGCGTGGGATGCGAGTGTCCGTCCCGCGCGGGCTGGGAGAGCAAAAATGCGGCCTTAACATCGTCTTTGATAAAAACTGTTGTTCCAGCTGGTGGCAGCAACGTCTCAAAAATCAACGCCCAGCAGCGCAGCGGGGACCCGGTCCCTGGGGGCTGTGGGAGAGAAACGCGGGCACGGGCAGGGTCTTGTGCAGGTTGGTGTAACGGGGGTGCCGGGCTGGACC